ACATTACTAAAACATATTATGATGAGAATATCTCATCTTTCTATAAATATACAACATTACTTAAATACAAAGAAGTATATTTGTATTTACTACGTATAATGTCCAGGTTAGTTGTCATGCATTAACGAACATAACAATATCATTGACCATATGTATATATATATGGAGAGAGAGAGAGAGAATGGAGATGACTCATTTTTCGTCCCTTTCACTATAATAAAAATATATGAAGTTGATCGATTATCCCCCCTCCCAAAAAAAAACAATTACTATGGTTAGTAAGGGAAAAAAACAGTTTCCATGTTGATAGATTATTTTATACATTTTTATCACTTATATGATTTAATATAATTGGATTTATGAGTTAATTGAAGTTAGACTATCATGGGTCTGCGTGACTGTCGTAACCAATGGTTGGAGACTCTTGGTGACATGGCTCAGAATCAATCACAATGGCGTCGGTGTATATACTCTCTGTCATTCTTTAAACTAAGAGATTAAAATCACTTCAAATCTTTCTTTCTAGGAACTAATTCTATCTTCCTGTACTATCTCCTTATACACAATCTTTCTTCTATATATTACCACCACTGAATTAACTACTTCTATGAATCCGGTGTTCATCTTGTTGTGCTAATGTGGTATAGCCATTTGGACCGATGCATATATATGTGCCTGGTCCTACATTGTAGCTGACTGACTGACTGACTGAGACTATCATGGGAAACTTGGAAGCACTGTACAGCTGTTTCGTCCTAGTACGGAACTTCACAGTAGTGCGTTGTAGTGAACAGAACATGGGTGGGGACAATCGAATGTATTTGACACACAAAATTACACAACTACTTAGTAAAATCTAACAACCATATGTAGTAAATGCTCAATTTGCAAAATGTCCATCAATTGTCTCAAAAGACTGAGACTTCCTTTGTTCTTGCATTTTCATACAAATTGCATTCTGTCTTCATTCTTTACTGTTCGATCTTCTTGTCTCTCTGCTGCCAGACATTCTGTTCACGTCTCACGTCATATACTACTTATGTCTACATAAGTAGCGCACATCACACGTATCCAAGATCCCACTCCGAGAGATTCGAACCCAGGATCTATCAGTTTCGAGAAATTCTTCATCTAATATTAATTCATTATGATAACAACTTTTATATCATTCAAAACTTATTGATTAATTTCATTGAAATCATGAATAGAACAATGTTAGATCATTTATTGAAATCCTGGAAACACTTTGATAGGAGTTTTAATTGTAATATGAGACTACTCAATAATATACATCCACATAAGCATCAACTTGGGAATCAAACTCAGGATAAATAGTCTCGTAATTAAACGTCTAACATATAAACCATTGAGTTGGCACCGAATGCTATTAAAAGTATCCATAAGAAAATCTTATTCGAGACACAATTCAAAGTCATCACTTTCGGATAATTTATTCAGCATTGTACATAAATCAAATGTTCACTTATTTGTGCCCCCAAATGCCCTGGTACGGCCGAGAGTGGTGAGAGTCCGCTCTCCCTCTCTCTGAAAATGCTCTCACATGGCCACGCGTATATAGCCTCTGCCAGGGAAGTCTTACTCACTGCCTTCTCGTGGCACTACTGTTGTTTACAAAAATGAGAGGACGAAAAGCGAATGTCCGGCGCTTTAACCGGACCCCAAATCAATGGTGCACATGGGCTCCAGTATCCTGCCTGAGGGAACAAATGGCGTATGAACCAACCGTTGGTCATCGGCTACCATGGGACTGCATCTCCTTACGATGCTCCACCGCCTTGTGGGTCAGACGTTCAGGTCGAAGGCTCGGGGTGTGGCCCCCTAAGAAAACCACCTGCTACGATTTGGGCATCCGGGCAGTATCACAGCCCTCACACAAATCAATTGAGATTCGTGTGGCGCATATGTATTTGGTGCCTCCCTGTACCTATACTTATGTGTTAAAATAATAATAATAATACTTATTAATTTGTAAATGGGATAGACTGAATACATACTGTATTAAGTTGAACATATAGTAGAATGAAAAAACGTTTTATAAATTCACCAGCTATTTATGCAAACAAAAATTTCCATTAAATGAATTATGAATCGCCACCAAATGCCCTGGTACTGTTGAGGATGGGGATAGTCTGCTCTTCCTTTCCAAATGCTATCATATGGCTACACGTATACAACCATTGACAAGAAAATCCTACTCACTTCCTTCTCGTGGTGAGGGTGTTGTTTACAAACTTGCGAAAACGAAAAGGGAATATCCAGCACTTTAACCGATTCACTTAGAGCAGTTGGAAAGTCCTGATTCCAAATCAATCGTACACATGTACTTCAGGATCATGAAGGATCAAATGGCATACGAATCTATTGTTGGTCACCGGCTACCATGAAATAGCATTTCTTTACGTTCATCCACTTCCTTATGAGTTAGACTTTCACAGAAATCAAATGATAAAGTGTGGCATATATGTATTCGATGTCTCTTTGAACCAATAGAGGTTAAGCGCTTGTGCGCGTAACCGATAAACCCTGAGTTCGAATTTCGCAAGGCGGGATTATGGATGTGCACTGCTGAGGAGTCCCACAATAGAACGAAACGGCTATCCAGTGATTCCAGGTTTTCCATGGTGTCCTAGCTTCAACTGAATCATAATTTCAATTGTTAAATTATTATAATATCCACGTATATACAGCCACTGTCAGGATGTCCTACTCACTGCCTTCTCCCTGCACTACTGTTGTTTACGAAACTGAATATTCGTCCTTTTAACCAGAATGGTGGGTACGCAAGATCCATGTAGAGCTGTTGGAAAATCCTGATTCTAAACCAATGGGGCACATATGCTCCAGGGTCCTTAGGGAACAAACGATATCCGAACCTATTGTTAGTCATCAACTGCCATACGACTGTATCTCTCGACATTACTCCACTGCCTTATGAGACAAATCTCCACACATATTAAATGATAAAGTGTGGCATATATATATATATATATATATATATATATTCAATGCCTCTTTGAACCAATATTTATATTTACTTGGTATTATTTACTAGAATCTTCTCAATTAAATAATACCAAGTAAACCAGCTTCCAGATGAAGAGGAAATTAAGAAAAGACGATGGAAATGGATAGAACATATATTACGCAAATGATCAAACTGCATCACTAGGCAAGCCCTAACTTGGAATCCTCAAGGGAAGCAGAGAAGTGGAAGGCCAAATAACACATTAATAACAATTAGAAAAAACTGGAAAGGATTGCCCAGAACAGGGTTGTATGGGGAGAGTGCTGGTGGTCGGCCTATGCTCTTACACGAGGAGTAGCAGGCATAAGTAATTAAGTAAGTAAGTAACTATTTCACAAGTAACTGGTTATAAGGGCTCAATAGTTAAATGGATAACACAATAATATTTAAACTAAACCTTAGTAAGTTCAAGTTCTGAGATGAATCTCAAATTTGAAATATAAATATATCCAACTGATAAGTTGTAAATAGTCAGTCAGTCAGCTACAACGTAAGACCAAGCACATATATGCATCGGTCCAAGTTGCCACATCGCATTAGCACAGTAAGATGAACACCGAATTCGTAGAAGCAATCAACTCAACAGTGTAATATATAAAGACAAGGTTGCATATGAGGATATAGTACAGGAAGAAAGAATTAGTTCGTAGAAAGAAGGACATGAAGTGATTTTAATCTCTTAGTTTAAGTGAAGATAGAGAGTGCATACATCGACACCATTGTAACAGATTCTGACCCGCCCCTAACTTAGGGATAATTGGAAGAAAGTTAGGGGCGTTGAAATCAAAATGTGGCATCAGTGCTTGAAGTTACTAACTTCTGGTCTGAACCATGTTGCTAGATACAGACTACTTGGTTAGGGTCCGCGTGACTATTGTAACCGATGGTTGGAAACTCTTTGTGACATGGCTCAGAATTGATCACCATGGCGTAGGTGTGTACGTTCTTTGTCTTCCTTTGAATTAAGAGATTAAAATCACTTCATATCTTTCTTCCTGTACTATCTCTTTATATGCAATCTTTCTTCTATACATTACCACCATTGAATTAACCGCTCCTATGAATCCGGTGTTTATCTTGCTGTGCTAATGCGGTATGGCAACTTGGACCGATGCGTATATGTACCTGGTCCTACGTTGTAGCTGACTGACTGAATGAATCGATTCTGAGCCATGTTACACAAAGTCTCCAACTATTGGTTACGATACTCACGTCGACCGCAACCAAGTAGTTTGCATCTGGAAATTAATGTCTTCAAGCACTGATACCACGTTTTGATTTGGCCACCTTTAACTTTCTTCCAACCATCCCAAAACCAGTCAGAATCGCATATCGTAGTATACGTAACACTAATGGCGCAACCATCCTTTATATTCTATTACTAGCTATTATTAATATTTATTTATTTATATTTATTTTAACACATAGATATTGGTACAAGGAGGCAACAAATATATATGCGCCACACAGATCTCATTTGATATGTGTGAGGGCAGTGATACTGCACGGATGCGCAAACCGAAGCAGGTGGTTTGCCTAGGGGGCCACACCCCGAGCCTTCGACCTGAAGATCTGATCCACAAGGCAGTGGAGCGTCGTAAAGAGATGCAGTCCCATGGTAGCCGATGACCAACGATTGGTTCATAAACCATTTGTTCCCTCACGCAGGATACTGAAGCTCATGTGCACCATTGATTTGGGATGTGGTTAAATCGCCGGACATTCGTTTTTCGTTCTTTCAATTTCGTAAACAACAGTAATGCCACGAGAAGGCAGTGAACAGGACTTCTCTAGCAGAAGCTATATACGCATGGCCATATGAGAGCATTTCCAGAGAGAGAGAGAGAGAGAGCGGACTCTCACCACTCTCGGTCGTACCAGGGCATTTAGGGGGCTATTATTATTAATCATAAAATAAATTATGCATTATAATATATATCTATATATAACTTACTAATTCATCTAATGAACGAAAATCAACCATTGGACGTTGTAATTCCTGTTTTTCTTTTTTATTCTTATTTTTATTATCATTATCATTATTATTACTATTTAATGTTGTATGTTGGTTGATTTTATTCTTTGAATTATCTCTATTTTGTTGTTGTTGGTGGTGGTGGTGTTCTTGTTGTTGTTTACATAATCCTATCGAATGATTTAATCGATAATTGATTGATAATTGATTTATATCATTATTCTTATTATTATTATTATCATTAATATGATTATCATCATGATCATCATCATCAATATTATTGATTTTTTGTAAAGGATTTATATCACTTATATATTGATTGATTGAATATTGATTAAATTCATCAATTAATTGTTTATCAATATCTAATTCTAATTTAATAATATCTGGTATACATAAATTAAAATAATTACCAAACCGTGCTAATTCTAATAAACATACAATAACATTACGTAAATTTTTTTTACATACTAAATCTTCACTTTCAAATAAGATTGAATTAGACATACCAAGTTGTCGACACCATTGTAAAAAATTCGATACATTATTCCTTGATATAAAACTAATAATAGCCCCATTTGTTGATGATAATGATGAGGATGATGAGGATGATGAGGATGAAGAATATGTATAAGTTTGATATATAGGACTAGATTTAGGTAAGTTTACTTTTCTACCATTAATACGTATATTATGTAATGGAATAGATTTCACATGATGATGTAATATTGTAGCATGATGACATAATAATATACCATTAGATAAATAATCAAAAAAATTCTCTATATTCATTTCAATAATCATAGTTGGATACATTTGTTTAAACCAATCAATTAAATCTTCAATCATAACTAATAATAATTCATCTTTATTATTATTATTGTTCAAACTTATACTACTTAAATCTTCAGATGTACTACTAGTAGTATTCGTAGTAGTAGTAGTATTCGTAGTAGTAGTATTTATAGAATTAACTATAGAATAATTACAATCAGTTAATTTATCATGATCAAATGATGTATGTATATAACCACTATCATTATCAGTATTTAAACTATTTAAACTAGATGATAAACCTATAAATTGACGTGTTATCATATCAAAATTATCAAATGTTTCTTGTAATATTAATTCACTATCAGTTGTATCTTGTTTATCATTCCAAATCAATGAATCTTTATTATTATCATTGTTGATGATATGAACATGATCATTATTGAGTTTATTTAATGGAGAGATAAGATTTGATGTATACATTGGTATATTTGTATTATTATGTTCTATTTTATATAAATAATTATCTGGTGGTAATGAATAGGCACGTTGATTAATTTCATGTATACGATTCATGATAATCTTTTAATTGTATAATTTCAAATGTATTAACATTTCAATAATATTAAGTATGATAAATGATTAAAGTCCAAAATATTCCATTTGAATCCATAAACCCAGTACATGTGAATTCGATGGTAGAATTTTTATTTTTATTTTTTTTTGAAAATGAATGAGTATTCGTTCGAATTTCAATAATCTATAGTTTGAATCGACCAATCATATTACAGAATTTAAATTTATTTTATTCATTACATCCCACGCATTGATTATTTCAATTCTTATTGGTTAAAAAATTATTTATTTTTTTTGGATAGATTTTTATTGGTTTATCAAGGTCAAATTCAATCCAATCATATTGAAGGATTTCATTAATGGATTGAATTCATATATGAATATCACTGGTTGAAATAATGAATCAATTGAAGCTAGACCATTATGGAGAATTTGGAAGCGGTGGATGGCCATTGCGTCCTAGTATGGTACTCCTCAGCAGTGCGCATCCATGATCCCGTTCTATGCGAGATCTGAACCCAGGACCAATCAGTCTCGCATCAGGCGCTTGACAAACTAGACCACTGAGCTGGCATTCAAAGATGGTAATGTCTAACTTCAAACAATCCACGAAGTTGCGTCACTGTCACCATTGTCTTCAGTGAGCTGATATCTCACAACAGACCTGGTTGAACTTCACTGGTAACGGCTTCTCACTAGAACTCCAAGAGTATCTCTTGAAATCAGTCACTAGTGAACAGATGATTATTATTATTATCAGAAGGGGTTGTGGGGAGATTTTAGAAATTTCAATGGTTGAAATCATGAATCCATTGAAGCTAGACCATTATGGAAAACCTGGAAGCACTGGACGGCCATTTCATCCTAGTATGGGACTCCTCAGTAGTGCGCATCCACGATCCCTTACTTAGATGGTTTGAATAATTTTTTCTGGTTAGCGTTTTTTTAGCGAGATAGCTTTCTACGGGATGGGGTCGCTAACCCCATTCCCAACCCTCCTCCTTTATCCGAGCTTGGGACCGACAGTAGCCCCCCGAAAGGGACTCCAGGCGGAGTTATCCACGATTCCGCTCCTCATATATGAATAGTAATATACTCACATTGGTAGTGGACTAATTAAGCGAGACTATGATTATGTGCATGAAACAATCAGATTAAAGATGAAAGGTCGTGAATTTTAGAGCGAAATTCAGTCTTGGCATTATAGCTAATGTTAGTGTTCGTGATGTAAACTCCTTAAATTAAATTCTTAAATTTAATCATCAATTGTAAATCATAATTCGAATTGTTCACATACATTTGTAATCCTTATTTGATACTTGCTACCAGGTGAACATTCCTAAGGTCAGTCTAGAGCCGCTCAAAGGTCGTCTATAAATTATAGTCTCAGTGACTAAAACAACAGTTGTTCATAGGTTTTCTTTTACAACAGGTTGTTATATCCTAATGAGAATACTGGATGGGGTGAGACTATAATTCATTGACAAACCAATCAGATATAATATAACGAGTCATGAATTTTGACGCGAAATTCATCCACACATTTGGCTAAATAGAGTTTTGGCATTATAGCTGATGTCAGTTCGTGATGAAAACTCCCTAAATCTAGTTTCTTAGCCATAACCATCAACTGTAAATGACGATTCTAACTGCGTTATAACCTTCATTTAGTCCTAATCAGTAGGTGTCCAACCTCAGGGTCACTTCGGCGTCGCTGAAAGGTCGTTCATAAATAACAGTCTCACACTGGATGGTAATTGTTGGGATCTATTTATGGATTAATACTATACATATAATTTTATTGTAACAAAACGATGCATAGTCATATTCATTTTATTTATAAGCTTCATTTTGATTCATAGACTATTATGATACGATTTACCGTTCTTGAGTTATATCCAGTCTATTCATTACAGTCTCCAACATTCACAGTCACGTTTTGACTTGATCTTGTGATTTGGTCTGTTTGGCTGATGTTTATAAACCCAATATGTTTGAAATACATAATTAATATCGCGGAGGCTAGGGATCACTGTTCTATACGCAACATGCAAGTCTAGTCAAGTAAAAACGACTAATAAGGATACTAGGCTACTCATACCGGTCAATATGTGATTGTTGTGACACAGTGCTACAATTGTAGACGTCGTATTCCGACTGACGAATAAATCACATGATGAGTAGCTGTGCTTAAAGTCACAACCCTAGACTTTATGTTTTTCTCCTTGTGGAGATTGACAGAATTCAAATGAAAATCCTACTTATTTGTAAAACGTTTTCTTACTGCAAGTGTTTTCAAAGTACTCATGATAGTGTGGCAAGTTGAAAAAGTACTTTACAAATTATACTTACAAGATTATCTTATTCTTACTGCCTATTTACCACTACTACCACCGTAGTGAATAAGAACACCAATCGGGACAATCGAACATATTTGAGCTAATAATTACAGAGCATCTCATTAAAATCTGAGAATCATCTATGGTAAATCGTTAATTTGCAAAATATCAATCCATCACATATCAAACTTGACTGTTCCTGTTGTAAACATTAATCGATTGTCTCAAATTTCATTGTTCATGCATTTTCCTACCAATTGTGTTTCGTTCCCCTTCTTTCCTCATCGACCTTCTACTGAAATAAATTCTATGCCTGACCACTGTTATATACTACTTAAGTGGATATAAGTAACACACTCAACACTACTACTACTACTACTACCACTACCTTACTCTTAGTTCTTATAGTACAAATATATGTATATCGTATTGATTTGATGTTATCATGCAATGCTAATGTGATATGACAACTTGTGTCAACCTACTTCTATGTTAGACTCCACGTTGATAACTGATTGACAACCTCGTGATTATCATGATTTAACATGGTTTATTTAGTTGGTATTTAGAATAAGTCGAATGTGCTAAAGTGACTTGATAATAAACTATAGATTAATTATCTAGATTCAATATGATTGACAAGATTAGTGATAGTTGTGTATGAGCTGTGTAAATTGTGAATGGTTTCTGTGAATAAATCCAGTGTTTGAAACTAGGTGCATTGATTATGAATTGAGTGATGTTGAGTGTTGTTAGATGTGTGAAGGCGCTTATCACTTTCCCGGTTTATCTTGAAGTGCCTGAGAAGGAAATTGTGTTATGGGTTGTTTTAGTGACCTGAGATCGTGATTACAGTGCCCGACGTACAACTGCTTGTAGTCGGTCACACATGACTTTATTGTTCTGGACTCAACAGGTAATGCTAGGTAGGAAGCAGGACTGATAAAGTCTCTATACGGCTCGTACGGGTTTTATGTGTCATCGGTCCGGTCGACAAATCACTATTCTCTAATAGCGATATCATCACCTTATATATTGATAGGACATAATGTCACAGATTATAACACAAATAAATTCCATTTCTAGCTAGAACAGATGAGAAAAGTGAACAAGCATTAGTGATGATGTTCAAGTAGTGATAAAGAACTTTCTTATTACTAATGGTACCTTTCAATAACAGTTTACCCTTTCAAATATTATGTCAAAGTGCGGGAAGAATAATTTTACTAAGTAGTGCTTTTTTCAGAAGGGGTTTTGTGGAGATTGTATTAATTTCAATGATTAAGACCATGAGTCAGTTGAAGCTAGACCACCATAGAAAACCTGGAAGCACTGGACGGCCGTTTCGTCCTATTATGGAACTCTTGAGCAGTGCGCATCCACGACCTCGCCCCCTGCGGTATGTCCTGTAGTTCTAGTGAGAAGTAGTGACCAGTGGAGTTCAACCAGGTCTGTTGTGGGATAGTAACTCACTGAAGACAATGGTGGATGTGTCGCTCAATTTCGTGGATTAGTTGAAGTTAGAGATTAACACCGTTGGATGCCTGCTCAGTAGTACTTTTTTCGTTTGGTTTTTATTCAGTTCGATAAATCTCTCACTAATCTCTTTTCTGAACTGATTGGTAACTATATTAAGTGAATTATCACTTTGTCTATTTGACTAGAGCATGGAGGTACATAGATAGATGTAGTCCTAATACTTCGTTAAATAGATGATTCTGATAGTTTGGGCTTTAGATAAGGACTAGAAGTAAGGGAATATATTACATAGATAAATGGATCGATTGAAGTTAGGCATTAACACCATTGAACGCCAGCTTAGTGGTCTAGGTGTTAGGCGTTTGCGCGTGAGACTGGAGGTCATGGTTTCCAGTGTTTTTTGTGTGAGGTGGTGGATGCGCACTGCCAAGGTGTCTCATTGTAGGACGAAATGATCATCCAGTGTTTTCAGGTTTTTACTGGTGGTGTAGACTAGATCGATTCTTGAATTCCACAATTAAAATAAGATTTACGATCGAATATAGAGATCAAAACTTTTAATTATTGAGATTATGAGTCCTTTGAAGCTCGACCATCATGGAAAACCCGGAAGTCATATTGTAGGACCTCACAGTAGTGTGTATCAACGATCACATGACTCAATGAAATGAAAAATATTATCGATGTTATCAATGAATGCATAGAAACTATTTGTTACCTTGATGATTACAAGAAGGTATTATGTAGTAGTCATATTCAATCAAACAGAAGAATATTAGAATAATATTCTATGAATGAAATAAAAAATCAAGTATTTTGAGGATCTCTAAGAATTAGAAACACTTATGAGCTAATTAAAATAAACAATACAATAGTAAGCAATGATGGATAGGGGTTATCAGTGGAATCCAAGACGCACGTTTCGTCCTATTTGAGACTCGTCAGCTGGAATTGCCTACATCTCAGACTCATTGATATTCACTGTGGGACTCAAACCCAGTACCATTCACTTCAAACGCTATCGTGTTATCCACTTAGCTACTGAGTCCTGATAGCCACTTGCTTGTGCAATGAGGTGAATTTAAATTCACTTGGTATTATTTGACTTGTATCTTCCTATTGAGGTTTAAGACTACAATTGGTCTTGGTATATGTGCATACTGTGCGTGTACTTCGATATTGCCTTAATTCACAAGCTTTTTGTAGTAAGCAATTGCAGTCTTATACCTCAATGGGAAGATACAGGCCATACATAACCAAGTGAATTGAACCATACAATAGTTTATTTAATTCAAGTTTAAAGCCTAGATAGTTAAACTTCATCAAGAAGACTTCTATCAAAATCAAAATGATATTCACAAATCTTTGAGTATTGATCGTTGATCCTAAAACTTGTGATCTTTTTATCAATATTAATAGGATGATTATGAAAGTTCTATAGATGAGTATAAAAAAAGCAGGATAAAATCTTACTATAGTGGATTACTAGTACAAATAAATCGATTACATATTCTATTGTCACTACACAGATGATATTGACACAATCCTAGAAACTAAGTATGGAGGTACTGAATTTACTGGGAATGTTTGTCAAAGTTTATCTAGCTATGTTTTGGCTAAGAGATGAGGAATGTAATAGTACCATTGCTTTTCTAGACGTTCTACCAACGATCGAATTAGCTGAAACAGTAAAAAGTAGTGTTAACGGGAGGAACTAACCTTCATGGAACTTTCCCTACTACAGTATAAAACAAATCCATCTAAATCCTTGGTCAATAGACCTAATCCATTAGCCCTAAAGACTCTTTTCAAAAGAGAATTAAAAGTATTTACTATCGACAGAGTGAAAATCAATTGAATCCCACATAACCAAAACTTCTCTAAATCCAATTCTTAAGTTGACTACTATACAATA